GGTTACTATGTCTATTATGATTTCATTGTAAATCAGTGCTAAATACATATGATGTTATGTATGCATTTATGATACATGTTAGTAATGTGTTATGATTCTTCTTTATAAAACAAAAATTTTGTGCGAAAATGATCCCCCTTTGACTCTCTTTAACAATATTCAATATCTTTTTCCAAAGCGGTCCCCCTTAGTCTTACCAAGGGGACGTATAGGCCACCTTCAAAATCGTAGCCCATGCCGAACTGCCCTACCTGCCCCCTCTGTTCTGGCCTGTATAATAATACTATTATTTACTATATGACGCTGTCTACTACTAGACTACACTCTAACATCAGTAGACTAAGTAGCTAATTAATTAGTTACTTAACAAGTACAGTACATGCCTGCATGACGTTTTTTATGCCTTAAAAATTTTTTATGGTCATCACCTATTTATAACCTATTATAACCTATTATAGACAACACATTAATTTAGAATACACAATAAAATGTGGAAAACATAAGAGTTCTTTGTTTCTTCTCAGCTAATCTATCGCAATTTTGGGGTGGGCAGTTGAAGGGCGCTCTGCGGATACCCACCACTGAATGATTATGGCAGGTGAGCCATTCACGATACCTGGCCGACTATGCTGAAGCATTTTCCATATTGCGCTGCCAGAAGGTTTCCTTTCCAGCCACTAGCTCAATTTTGGCGGTATCGGTTTTTTAGCTCTGCGCGCATGCGCCCCACTCACTAAAAAATTCTGGCAGTGTCCATTCTTGTACCTGGGACCGATTGCCGATCATTTTTCAATGCGGTGCTTAGAAGCGTTTCCTGTTCCAGCAATCTAGCTCAATTTTGGGGTGGGGCAGTTGGGGGCGTCTGGCGAATACACCCACACACTGCAATCTACTTCTGCCAGTGGCATACACGCGAAATACTCTGGGATATGCTGAACATTTTTCCAGATGCGTGGCCAGAGCGGTTTCTTTCAGCTAATGCTACTCTAATTTTGGGGGATCGGTTTTTTAGCTTGCGCAATGCGCAGCCCACACTATAAAAATTCTGGCAGTGTCGCATTCTGACAGCTGGCGACTATGCCGACAGTTCTTCACAATAGGATTTCATGCGGGTTTTATTCCAAGCTAACTAGTCTCAATAGTTTGGGTGGCTTCTTTCAAATGGACTCCCACTGACCCACACCCATCGCGGTCACCTGCCAGACTTACATTTCCTACATGGGTATGTACACGAATCATTGCTATATGCATGAAAATTGGTTTCCTTCAGCTAGGCTGACCCGCCCCTGGGCTCCGGTCTAACTATACAGGCCCGTAGCCAGGGGGGGTTCGGCGGGTTCGAACGAACCCCCCCGGCCCCAAGCAAAAAAATTTTTTTTTTTAAATTTGCAAGAAGTTTCACTCTCAGCGTCGCTCTATTTTAGTGTAATATAATTGCAAAATCTCCATCGTGCGGAGCGTGAACAGTGAACACCCCTCCCGCACCTCCCCCCGCTCGTCACTTGGCTCCCTCGCCTGGCTCGCTTCGCGCCCGAGCAGGGGCGTGTACAGGGGGGTCCAGTGCAAGACAGCAGTGCATTGATTGCTTGAGTAGTTTCGGACCTATTGTTAGTGGTTTAGGGCAAGTCTTGTGTGGTCCCTTGACATGCATAGAGCAGGGGCCTGTGGAACGGGGGGCTAAGGGGCTCGAGCACCCCCACTTTTTGACGCCACATAAAATTAAATGAGAGAGAGTGAGGAGAAAAAAGAGAGACAGAGAGAGTGAGGAGAGCACTGATTATTACGTCTCCCGTTTTAATTAATGCTAGAGCTTCCGCGCTTTGCGCGAACCCACCCCCCTTGAACATTACAGTGATTGCCGGGGAACGATATCATGTGAGATGATTGTAGTATTACTATCAAGAACCCATGTATAATGTTGTCATTTCAAATCATGACGCCGTTGTGTGGTTTTTGTTGTGGTGGTGATATCTCTTAGATTACTGTTGGGGTAACGGTGTTTGAGTTTTTTTTCGTAGAATGATGGCATAATGTTAGATTACTAGGACAATGTGTATCATGTTGGATGGTATTAGCAGTAATAGCATCGTGTAAGATTCCTGTTGGCGTGATGATGCCACAGCTAATAAGCCAAACCCAATTTATGTGACCTAGTAATAATCATGTTCCTTGCGTCACTGCAGAGTACCTTCTGTCTATAATAATGTATACCTGCAATTCTCCATAAACTCACTGCGCAAACACTCTTGCTTGTCATGCAACGAGCAAGGGGGTGGCAATCAAGCCGATTGCTCGCCTCTCACGCTCATCCCTAACCATTATCTCCTGTGTCTCGCCAAGCTTAGAACTCCCTCAGAGACGAAAACTCCTGTTAGCTCTCCTCACTTGCACTCGAGCCATTTTCACTGCTGTATCCATGTGCGTTGTACAATGGATGGTTCTATCAATCTCGTCTGCTCTCTCCACAGCGGCCGACATCATCTGGCGGGACAAGACGTTCAGCGGCATGACGATTGCTGCCGCCGTGCTCATGTGCGTTGCGTTTCTCGTGCTGCTCGCGCCCGAGGACTGGAACCTGACACTGCAGCGCTGGTTCTGCAGCTGCGGCCGCAAGAAGCGCGCTGCCGCCACCGCTGCTGCTGCCGAACAGTCGCGACCCGACACACGGCAGTCACGCTTCAAGGTCGCCAGTTCAAGCGGCGTGTGAGGGGCGTCAAGGTCGCCAGTACAAGCGGCGTGTGAGGGGCTTCAAGGTCGTTGATACAAGCGGCGTGTGAGGGGTTTCAAGGTTGCCGATGTGATGGGCTTCAAGGTCGTCTGTGCGATCGAGCTGCATGTGAGGGGCTTCAAGGTCGCCAGTACAAGCAGCGTGTGAGGGGCTTCAAGGTCGTCGATACGAGCTGCATGTTAGGGGCTTCAAGGTCGCCAGTACAAGCAGCGTGTGAGGGGCTTCAAGGTCGTCGCTACAAGCGGCGTGTGAGGGGTTTCAAGGTTGCCGATGTGATGGACCTCAAGGTCGTCTGTGCGATCGAGCTGCATGTGAGGGGCTTCAAGGTCGCCAGTACAAGCAGCGTGTGAGGGGCTTCAAGGTCGCCAGTACAAGCAGCGTGTGAGGGGCTTCAAGGTCGTCGCTACAAGCGGCGTGTGAGGGGTTTCAAAGTTGCCGATGTGATGGGCTTCAAGGTCATCTGTGCGATCGAGCGGCGTGCGAGGGGTTTCAAGGTCGCCGGTGCAAGTGGCGTGCGAGGCTTCAAGAGGTGAAACACATAGGCATGGGAGACGGATACTAGATACACAGCGTAGTGAATGGGGGTTAGTAGGTGTGGACTACATTCATGTCAATGTCTCACTATCAGCGGTCAGTGTAACGGTTGGACACACAGCTTGTGTTCCGCGCCTGGATATTTCTAATGTCTGGTGATATATCTATTACTGGTATCTATATCTGATACTATATGTGATGAGGCAATGTTTATCATTAGGGGTATTTGTTCGTTAATGCTACTGAAAATACACAGCTGCTCATATGCATAACATTCCTGAATGTTTATTGTAGTTCATCAGGAGTCTGGAGTCATATCATTTACATGTAATAAATGTTGAGTCGGTGTGATCGCTGTGGCCCTGTATAGTGTGAGCTTGGCTTGAATGATTTATTATTTCTCATGCCATCTGAGTGAGATACAAAACAGATGTTTGATTATTACAAAGATCTGCTGATTGAGAGATTTGCTCGACGTATTCAGCTGTGATCTCGCATGTATTGAGATGCTAGTTTTGTCGGCAGATTTTTGATACTGATAACAAAATATATATTGCCATTCTTTTTATATTAGGCCAGCACAATGTTTCTCAGTAGTGGTGATGAGGGTGAGAGTGGTCGATAGTGAGGTCCGACAAATGTTGTCTTTATGCATATCAGTAACATGTGAAGGATACTTTAGGAGTCATAGTAAATTCTTAGTGCTACTATGTCAGTGATTATTTCTATTTAAATACATTATAATCTGTATTCTAAATCTATTCAGCAACTTTTTTGTAAACTATTAGCCAGCTCGTTAGAATTGGTATTTGTTCTGTTATTCCTGAACTTTGCCATTGCATTTTTTTCTGAATGCTCCCTGTTGGTTGATAATTTGCTTAATTCCTATTGCTTGGATATAAGGCTCTAATCCCTTGACCACTGTACTCATAGACTCAGACTTTATGAAAGTGACTCGACACCCTTAACAATGTGCAGCTGCTCCTCGACCCAACCGTGGCAAACACTAATTTTGTGATATGTATAGCAGTACTAATTAACAGAACTCTTGTACTAGATTATGTAGAAACTTATTAAAATTATAGTGTTTCACGTGCAATTCTTCTTTGAAGCGGTCAGACAGCAAACCAGACAGCAAGCATTTTGTATCATTATAGTTATACCCTTCCTGTCGGTGCCTTAACTATGATGCTGATATAAAGTTATGAAATGTGTCGAATAGAGGGCTTTGTCGATCCATTACTTATAATATCAAGTATGTACAGAGTTCAATATGTGTCAATATGTGTCATCATAACTTACTGCTTTGGCATAAATGAAGCAGAGGTAGCATATCGTTTATGGCGTGACCATGTCATAGGGTTGATGGTTGATACTCTAGCTATCTAGCAGAACATCTCACATTAGGTCAGGAGTGATTAGGTTATTACAGTGTATCATAGGGGTATCTTTTGGCACACCATTGGTTTAACTAACTACATCTACTACTGACTCTGGTATTCACCATTATTTGGCATATAAGCATATTTTTTTTTTTTTAAAGAAATATGTTGGCTTTGTCTTTATATGGATAAATGCATTCATGTGCATTCTCTGCCTTCATGTGCAGGCTTCAAAAAAAAAAATCGTTTATTGACCAGCGTCCGTTGTTCAGTAAGTGTGTTAAGTTTATTTTCTATGTAAAATTTGTAAGGTAATACAAAAACGAAATGCCATATACTGATATTGCAGTGCCACCTTGTGAGTTATGTGTAGAAGAAGTGTTTTCCGATTACAGCAATGGCAGAGAGTGTATAAAAGGATATTGTAACTGTTACTCATTAAATGGTTACACTTTGAATTTTATTTATGTCACGCTTTGCTATATATGTATAAACTGATTGGTTAAATAGTTGCCATTTCTGTCAATTTTATATGTAATTATCAATTCGGTGACCAAGTGATTCGATTCACTGCTCTGTTGAGTTACTGTTTCATGAGGTTAATTGATTAAAAAGTATTTTTATAAGCAATTTTGTAATGGCAAAGAGCAGTTCAATATTTGCAATATATTGGTACAACGGATACCAAACATGGAAGGTGTCACACTCCTTATAATGCATTATTTTTTCAGCTGGAGATTTTGTTGCAAATACAACTACGTGTATAAGTAATGTATGTATAACATGTATAACTAAATAACGTAATCAATTGAACTTTGGCACACCGCACGTTTTATTATGACAATAATGGATTTCATATGGTTTACTCTCAGTTTAGCATCACTCAGAATTACTCCATGGTTCAATGAAATTACAATAATATATACAAATGAGATTAACCAAAGAATATGCACAGAACCAAATTGACATCAATTAAGCTATCTAGGAAATATGTTAATCATTTTTGGCAATTGCGTGGTAGGCAGTTTGCGGTGATCATAAGTTAGACAATAGTTTCCAGCCCCAACTTCATTGTTATGTATATGTGTATCCGTTACAATAATATATAACATATGTAAATTATACATAAACAGGCTGACACGATATACGCATAGAATGTGCTCAATTGCTGCATGTAAATTATGTACGTTATAGTGTTAGGTGAAATTGTGAACAATTTCTGAATTCCTATATACTCTACGTGTTTTAGTGTTTTCGTTATTGTGTTTGCCGTAGTTAAAACGCAGTCTGATGGACAGTACTGAGTAGCACAACTGACAATCAATCCAGGACGCTTAGCGGCGCAAGAGGCGGGGACATGTACCCTCGTGTTTTCTACGGAAGGGGGCAAACGTATTAGATACCCCCACTCTGGTTTTTTCTCCTTTTTGAAAGTGCACCCTGGAATGCGCCATTCGAGATACAATTTCAGTCGCAAATGCAATTCGTAAGAAGCAGCTACATCTGTACTTCAGTCTTCACGATCCAAGGATTTTGTTCTGGCAGGCATTCGCCGGTTCCTTATACGTTATACATAATAATAGGTTTATTCTACTGATCTTTATACTAACCATACTTAACAGATAAGTTGTGTATGACGAACCCTGTCAGAGACCGCGGGAACCACCCACGACAGGTGTGCATACATCGGTTTCATAGGGCCATGGGTTGATGTGGTATAGGTGTATCGACACAAATAGGTAGATGAGTGGCTACGTCCATCTTTACACTATATACTTTGTCAAGAGCGATATTTTCCAAAAAATTATCTCGAAATGTTAATTTATAATATGAGTTTTGTGCACTTCGTGAAATAGTATTCCCTGCAATTTTTTTGGATATAGGCCTAGTCCATATAGACACAGTACTGGTATCCTATTGGATAATATGACAATGCACTTTGATATTCCTACAGTGTACTTGGAGTCATTAGATGTCTATATAAATTTATTTATTACATTCTATACTGAAATCATGAGTAAATAAGCGAAAATCCTTGCCTTGGGGTCTTTCGTGTGCAGTCGCTTATAAAATCAAGTGTATATAAAAACTTTATTCACCCCCTGATAACACGTGCAAGGACACGTGTAATAATATACTATAGGTAGCGCTTCCAGAGATATATCTTTTGTTGTAACAGATGATTCATGAAGCTAATAAAAGCTAACAGCTTGAGGCATGTGAGTGCACAGCATGTTTACTGTGCACGGCTCCAATTAAATTTACCACTTCTCACACACAAAAACGACTATACACTACACGGTGCTTCTGGTCCATCCTTGCTCCTATTCATATTTCGCACATTTTGCCAGATTGCTTCATTTGACCAAAATTGCCACAGATCCGTTAATTTAAAGTACTACACAGTTTTGAATATGGGTTGACAAATATGTTATCAGAAAACAATAAACGACGACACTAATATAAAAAAGGTAGTTAATGATAAAGAATCCAAAATTTAAATACTTAAAAATTCAAAAATTTTAAATGACTTATATTTAAAAAAACATGGTATGATCACAACTCTTCATGCTCTTATGCAATTTCTTTCTTTTTAGCCAACAATCAACATGGTAAAGGGTATAATACATTTGCAGTCACCATCATCATGAAGCTGCAATCTCGACACTACTCACTCAGTCTACTCAACAACAGAATAAGGACAACAAAGTTCTGAAACGCATGCATGCAGGGTTTTCTTTCAAATCACACAGCTCTATATAATTATAGAAACTATCAAGAGTATGTGAGATTTGATTTTTCATTTGATTGAAGTCAAATACTCCTGCAACTATTCAAACTGGCTCGATAATCAAGCCAGTATGTCGCGTACATAATGTACTTGCATGAATAAATCTTGCTTGCAGCTAAAAAGTATGACGTGGCATGACTAACTTCTTGTAAGCATGCATGTACATTATATAGTATTATCAAAATCTCTACGCAGAACAGTATGACGTTGCTATGTACAATAGATAAAAATACCAAATTGCTATTCCACTACTGCCCTGTCAAGACCAAATCTTGTATACACATTGTTTGTGTGGAATGCATAACGTTTTGGTAAAAAAATTTCCCATGGTACTCAATGAAAACCTGTGCCTTGTGCGCACGCACTGCCCACGGCGGAACAGCCGCAGCAATAAAACGTGAAAATGATGCTAGCAAAAATACGCATGAGAATGTGCTTTCCGAGTTCTTGAGCATATATACAGAGCGGCGTGCCCGTCACCCCGGGCCGGCCGTCGGCCGTCGCTACGACGAACTGTTGCTCGTGTTCTTTTTCGACGAATCGCCAGAGCCCTTCTGCTTGGCTAACGCCGCTCCGGGTTTCAGCACCACCTGCACGGGGTCCGTGCCCTGGTCGAACGCGACACGCTCGTACAGCTTCATCATGTTGTCGATGAAGGTCATGAAGTCCTTGAAGGTCGGCCGCGTGATCAGCACCGCCGTCTTGTTGTCTTCGACAAACTGCACGGCGTCCGTCTGCGACGCGCGCGTCCGTTGCCGTGACGACCGCTCGGCGCATGCGCCGCAGCTCGCCGCGATCTGCGTGCTTCGATTGACCTTGGGCCGGCGTGGTGCCGCGTCGGCGATGCTGCGTGGCTTGCCGATCAGCACCTTCACGTTGTGCCGCGACAGCAGCTCCTGGTGGATAATGTCGTTGCACGGCAGCAGCGCCGCGCCCGTCGGCGCCACCATGTCTATAGAATGCGCCGAGTTGGGCCGCGGCAGCGGTGCAGCGACCTCTGCCGTGACCTCTGCCACCGCCGCATCTCCGGCATCCTCAACCGGCTCCGCCTCAACCTTGAGTGCCTTCAACGGCGACTTCTTGCTTGCGGCGGCAGCGCCACCAGCTGCGGTCGGCGGCTTTGGCGTGCTCGTGTGCACTATGTCCTCGTAGTCGAACATCGGACGCTTCTTGGCGCGCCGCGGCCGCCCAGGCTCCTCATCAACCACCGCCTCCTCGTCAGGTGGCGCCGCCGTCGCCGCCGCGCTCGCGCAATCGTCGTCGGACGTCGCCGAGCGGCTGTCATCGTCGGCGGCATCGTCGCCCTCCGAGTTGTGGTCGGTCTGCTGGTCGTTCAGGTACTTGGTCTTCGGGAACGAGCCCATCGCACTTTTCTTCAGCTGCTTCTGAAGCCTGCGAGGCATCGAAATGCACAATCAGATGAACATCGTAAAGCGCATGCAAGGGGGCGCCACCGTTGTAGCTGGTGTTTTTGTTACATGCAAAACTCCACTAGGTGGGCATTCCATTTTCGCGAGGGAGAGTACTGTTGCCGCCAGCCAGAGATATTTTCATATTGAACGGAATGAGATTAGATGAGCATTTTCGTGAGAGAGGGAGCCACTGTTGCGGTATGACGATTACACTTTAACCTATATGTTATATTTGCACTGAGCTTCAATGCGCCAAGATCTGATATGATCTTACCCTGTATAAATTCCACAAAATCAAATTGGAAACGTTATCTGTATTTAAATCTGATAGGGTATATTTCACTGTAATAGGCCATTTCAGTGTCACCCAGAACCACCAGTCACCCCAATTTATAAAACGATCACAATCCTGTAGGCTCAACATTTTATGCTGTTTATATTATATATATCACCCACGATCTGCACCGACAAAGCAATACCTTCACTTACATATCTCTGATGTTCTTTAGGTGATCCTTCGTCTCTCGTTGCAGTGTTCCATGTGGTATCAAATTGTTAAACAGCTCAAACAGCTAGAAAAAAAAGCTATATAAATTAATTGACGATCCTGTATTAAAATGCTACTTAATCGAGTCCTTAATACTATAATGAAGCAGATTACGATCCGACTATACAACTGTATCACTACTTCAGAGGGTGAATCAGTTGGTAGTTAGCAGTAGGGGTGAGACGATACAGGTAACTCACAATACAATCTGTATCGTGCTACAGATTACTCGATACGATGTATCTCTTTACTCTCAAGAAAAATTATCTAGCAAACTATACACTTAAAGGGAAACTACACCCTAGAATTTTAGGGTATAGTATAATACTAAATGCATAAATAATAGTATATACCTACAAATTTCTATAATCATGCATTGCTATATATAGCAATGCATGATTATAGAAATTTGATAATTAGACAAATGAATATATTCATTTGTCATAAAACAACACTTAGTTTCGAAATCTTTAATTTGGCAGCTGACATGACACTGCGATTGTGCTGCCACCCTGGTGAAGTTGCGCTTTTTCCAATTTATTTTGCACATTACCTACCAAGGGCTAATCACAAGTGTTTATTATAAAATTAAAGAGTTTATTTAAAAAAGTACATTTACATTTTACACCAAACTGCTATTTAAAATGGAACGATTTTTATTTTAGGACGATTCGTCCATATAATAACTGAGTCTAAAAGTTGTTTATAAGACATTGCAATCCTTCACCTCTTAAATTAAAATAAGTCTTGTTTGTAATGTAACCAGCAGTGATATTGGACAAACTAATACACGTTTGGCTATAAGGTTATGTACTTATTAACTACACAAGGTGCCAGTTACTAGATAGCATTCATCAACATTGCATAATCAATGGGCCTAGTATGCCTTTAATACCAATAATTAATGTATTTTACTCAGTAGAGTACCGATACGTGTATTGTGAATAGTCAAATGTATTGCCACGTTTATGGTAGAGCTATGTATTGCGATACATCGATATATCGATGAACCGTCCCCACTCCTAGTTAGCACTAACATTAACTGACACGAGTTGTGAGTAACTTACGAAGTCTGCCACCCGCTGCACACCATCCCGATCTTTTAGCGAGTGTACGTTGAGGTTCTTGCAAGCATTCCTGACTTCTCTCTGTTATTTGATAGAAAACCATGATGCATAATTAGAAATTTGGATTAAGGTTGTTGGTATGAGTAAAGCTTGGACAAACATAAATCAAAATCAGTGGTTGACATAGAACATTTTTGTAGGCTGCGCTAACTTGTCCTGGAGGATTGGGCAGCTGCTACAGTGCTAGTGTAATGCCAGGTTTTTACACTAAACAACAAGTTTTGTACACCTAATGCAAAAACGTTTCCCCACAACTTTTCCACAACTGGAAGATTTTAACTAAATACAATTCTCGTAGCATAATCCGTCGAAACATAGTAGTTACAAAATATTATTAGCAAACCCTTGCATAAAGGATTTTTATTGCCTCTCACACAAATATACATGTGCTCAACTTCTTGGACTTTTCTATGACAAAACACAATAACAGCCTATATTCCACAACTTGCCATACCTAAAAAATAGCATGTAAAATTTTTTAGGACTTTCCAAATTTACCAAGACCTTTACGAACCCTGGGATCATCGCGTAGTAGTTACTGATTTTCTGCAGCAAAAATTGGTTAGCTCAAATATTTTAAATCAGATAACCGTTTATATGTCGATGATACAAAATGTCACAGAATTCATGCACATAATAGCCACTAATTTCATCACCATGGGTCATACTCATACTCAGTGTTTCCCCTGCATTGACACGAGGCCTCGCTCAAATTCTCAGCCGCCACACAGAAATTTGTTCAAAACATGCACCACCTCCCTGACGAAAATCACTGTTCTTCAATCAATAAACTACACTTTATTGAACTAAAATGCAATAGTCTCATACAATGTGTTCAGAATTTTTCCAGAGGCGCAAAGCCCCCAGACCCCCCCTACCTGCAGTGCTCGCTTTGCTAGGACCTCGAAATGCGCAAAGTCGCAAACACCAAAAAAATTTACCACTCGCATACCTTTTTGGCCAGGGGAAACACTGATACTTATATGATAACACTGGTATCTAGAGAATGCCTGCGAATTGCATTTTAAAACGTTTAACTATATTTCCGCTTTTCAAACTTTGTAATTTGATACCGGTACACTACAGGCTACACTTTAAAATTTTCCAGTTTGGTGAGTACAATGTACATATATAGGCATGTCACTATTTGATATTATACATACATATGTGTGTACCAGTGTTAACCTTCACATATATGCTTTGAGTTGAATTTATTTACGTATTGATGTAACTATTCGTTTGTCTATCCATACGCATATTCGTGCATTTTAACTGTTCATGCACTGAACAGATACGGCTTCATTCATACTTACTAATACATTACGAAAAATTGCTCTAAAAAGCTGCTTGTCCGGCGGACAAGCTACCTGGACGAGATCCACCTTGTCTCCGTCGGAAATGTCGACAAGTAACGGGATCAAATGATAGGCCTTATTTTGAAACGCTGGAATGGTATCAGAAACCTTCTCGAAGAAATGTTCGTTGGATCGTATATGTGAAATAGTTGCCCAATGAGATGACCCGCTACGTTTGCAGCTGTCTTAAGAATTAAAGATGGCAAGCTCCCATCGTAAGTCAGTATAGCAACAATTATTGGCAAGACAGCAATTACGGTAAGCAATCCTCTTCCATCACCATTTACCGCTACGCAAGCCCACAGGCTGAAATAGAGAGGCTTGCCAGCCTGTAACTAATTAACGCAGGCAAAAACCTTACACCCCTCACTAATCACCAACCACACTTGCCACTGGACTAGTGCACAAGTTACAACACTCATGTAACACACTCGACAGTAAGAATGCCATAGAAATTAATATCCGATTTAACGGCGGCATAACCTTCATTCAACCAAAATTTAAGCTTTTGAAATTTCACTGTGACATTTGTAGCCCATACATCTCAGGCATGTAATAGAATCTACTAGCAAACGCCGGCAGTGCAAATTCTTTCTAACAGTACAACAAATCCATGGTTTAACCGCTCCCTCTTCAGGGTCAAAAGGTATCCGACACTGTAACTTTTCCGCATTGCAAGCCAGAAAAGCACATTCAATGTCTGCTTTCAAATAAAGCTCATAAAATGCTATAGGCACCCGTCTGAACAAACAGTTTCAATGCTTCTCTCTCCTCTCCGTCTCGTCACTGCTCTCTCTGTACGTCTGGCTATCCCTCCTGTCTGCTCGTCTGTCTGTCTGTCGTTGTCTTCTGTCTGGTCTCGTCGCTAGTCTGTCTCTGTCTGTATGGACAAGCCGTCCGACCATTCTCAAGAAAATGTCTAAAAATCTCCCCCGTCCCCATTGACCTTTGACCTGCTGACCCAATTCGGTCAAGTGATGGCTTTTCCTACCATGATGCCATACAACAACACACCGACTATCACGAGCCTAGGTCGAGCCGGTTAAAGATTTGTGCTCCATTCTGTATTTCCTCCCTATACCTAAGTAAGAGAGGGAATGTTCCCCCTTCTTTACACCACCTTGACCTGTTGAGCCCCCAGCTCGACCTCTCAACTCGTTTTGACGATGCACGCCCCGCGTCCGAATGACTCGTGACCGTACGTCGAGCGGTTAAGATTTGTGCCCAACTGTTGACGCCTGAACGGACGCACGGCCGGACGCATGGACGCACGCTCATGCAATTCTACAAGCTGCATCTGACTATGTCAGATGAGCTAAAAACTACTTTGAATTCATGAAACTTTTGCCACGACAATGTCAATGTACCTATAATCACAGGCACTTGGGACAGTCAGTAAAAAATGAAAATAATATGAACGCACACATTCACAAATATTTGCGAATATATATATATATAAAGGCTTTATATAAATATATTATCATGGCAACACAGCACACTCGAAGCGTCCAGTGCGGGAGCGTTCGGCGTTAGTTTTTATGAAGGAAAGTTGATATACAGTGACAGTGGAGTAGCCAGGATTAAATCTAAGGGGGGGGGCAGGTGCATGTTGTTGGTATGTCTTATCGACTTGAAACAGTCCTGTTGGTTTAAATAAGTACGTAGCCTTCTAAATCTTAGGGGGGGGGGCGATCGCCCCCATTGCCCCCCTGGCTACGCCACTGTACAGTGACAAAACAGTGGAATTGTAATTGAGAGGTAAGTACGGTAGTATATATATTATAGGGCCTATTTGTGAATGTGCGTTCATATTATTTTCAGTTTTTACTGACTCTGTCCCAAGTGCCTGTGCCTATAATAATCACTAGCATCAAATTGCAGAACGTACTGTTAGGGTACGTAGTTTAAATTTAGCTGTACCAGAAACGCTAGCGTCAGACTCAGCGTCGCCTGGTCATGCTCGCTTGACCTAATACTAATAGTAATATTTGCATCATAGTTAGTCAGTATGAATAACAACCGAGTTAGTCAGTGTGAATAACTTGAGAAAATCAGTGATTGCCATCTATGAACTCCTTCTCAAAATCAGTCACACGGAAAGGGCCTAAATCTATGCAAATTACTGATATTGTTTCTAGACTTTCCATTATCATAAATTCTGCTAGTACTAGTAATAGTAAAACTGCGTGCTGCGTAAATCGACTACGTATGCGTAACCGGCGTTCCGCTTGGAGACAGCATGGCGTCAGCGTTCGCGTTACTGCACAACCGTACAGCAAGAGTAACATGAAAACGTCACAACGTGATTACCTTGAACTGGCAACGTTCAGCACTTTTCCCACGAGCAAGCATTTTTACGACATATTCATCATTTAGTTCAAACCCCAATCGTTCACACAAAGTTTCTGCCGTTGACGCAAATCCGCCGTTTTCTGTAGAATTAGCGGTTACAGACGCAGCGTCGCTACCTTCATTCTTCTCGTCCGCCATGACGCCGTTAGCGGGGAAATGGCGGCAATCGACGGCCTCGGAATACATGTATCAGTAAGAATTCATGAACACTTGTAAAAATTCATTGAATTTTGAACTGGTCACAGGTGTGAAATTTATATTAAACTGCACTCGTGCTGTTATAAACATAAACATGCCTCTAATAAAAAGGCGAAATAAATACAAGCCTGTGAGTTATTAGTATACAGCAGTTACCGAGGGATGGCGCTGCGACACAATTATCAAAGTTGCGGCTGGCTGCCGTCAGAGCATATAAATCACCGCCTGTGCTCGGTGATGTATATGCTATGCTGCCGTGTTCGCGCCAAGCTGAGGCGCCAAGTAGGCCTACAGCCTCTCGGCATCTCTCTACCGCGCCGTTTTCCGATCGTTTAATCAGGGACGTAGCTACCATAACGCATATACGCAGTTGCGTACACATCATTTTACCAAACATATTTTTTTATTGCAGAGAGAGGGCGAGAGAGAAAGAGAGCAAGAGAGAATCAGTCAGTCAGACTAAATTTTCTTCTGATGTTTTGCCTAGCGTGACTCGTGATACCCTGATAGAAATGCGTGAAAGAATCTGTTTATTTACAGTGAACCGTTATATTTTATTTAGCGTTTAGCGTGAATTTATTTTTCAATGATTCTAAACGAATTTTTGATCTCTTGATTCAACCATTTTCACACACTGTCATCCAGCGTAGACTGGTCCTCGTCTCGACATATGTCTATTGAGATATCTCTACTCACAAGCCTAATTACTACATCAGTGGCGGATTTAAGGGGGGGGGTGGCTAGCTACCCCCCTCTGTTGGACTAACAATATTTTTACATAGTCGCGCGGCTGTACAAAACGTCACCGGAGTGATGCATAGCTTAAATTATATAATTGAGTGGCAAAGCAGTTTACAACCCTTTTGCAGCTTTTTCACAATTCCAAGAAAGAGTTTTGCTGTCGCCCTCATCCCAGCGGTGGTCACCACTACACATTGAATAATAAACGCGACTTAAAGAGAGAGAGAAAGAGAGAGCGAGAGAGAGAGAGAGAGAGAGAGAGAGAGAGAGAGAGAGAGAGAGAGAGAGCGCGCGCGCGCGCAAGCGAGCGAGGGAAAAATATATGTAAAGGCGATCATTAACAGGGGCGTAGCTAGGGTGAAATGGATGTGTACGCAGAGAGGCTCATCAATTTTTGAAAATGTAGATCGCAGAAGATGGTATTTGAGGCACCTTTGAGTAACTGTACAGCCTTCATTCTGACTACGACAATTATCTGTTTAGTAGAACTATTCTCTTCATGCGCAACAAGATGTGATCACTAAAGATCACTATAACTAATCATGTAATTTTTGTTAATTTTTTATTATCAAGACATGTTGAACTAACTCTCTTTCTCTCTCTCCCGCTCTACAAGGCGGTATTTCCAGGCGTGTTGTGCGTGCCAGAGTGTGTTCTGATATCGATTTATTTCACTGCCCTGTAGAATAGCGTTCAGATATCACAGGTGTAGTGATCGGATGTGCGGAGGATTCGCACTCCCCGAGTGCCTTCTTTCTAGTTGATTAGTTCTGATCGTGCTGACAACGCTCGTTTGCGCCCTCGTTTAAGCCTTCGACGTAATCGTGTCGGATTTCAACGAAAATACACGACACTAGCACTCAGAGTCGGGCGGTCGAACATACCGGAAGACCAGCGTACATCGTGCGGCACCATTGCCATAAATTGCCTCGCTATAGCAACACATATAAGACTCTAAAGAAGTCAAGATGAAGTGATGCTAACATTATATTTTGCATTTCATTCTAAATTTCAATACATGTTGCAAGCGGCATCACCTGCAATGACACAGCGTGGTGCAACATGTCTTTACAAGTATTGTACTGAGAAAGTGTTGAAACTTCGGGTTCTCGTAGTTCGACAGCGTAGAAGGTAGCAGCGTTGATAGCGTATAGATAACCAGTAGAGAGTAGACGTAGTCGCAGATTCTTGTTTCACTTGGACTTTATTAGAAAACTCGAACACATACAAAATATATACATACGTACGGCAACCTAACTAGGTCCCGTCATTTCTGTTTCCGTCGCTACATCTTGAATGACTCACGTAACTCGGTTCTTAACTCTGTAACTCGGTTCCTATCTTCCGTCTCCCCGAGCGTCTATTTATAAGCTTCTTAAAAGCGCCCGGACGCCCCACAATCCAAACCAGTTTCTCCCTGCAGCTTCTAATATTAGTGACATATTAACGCCCGTCTGTAATCATTAGGGTGCGCGGTAGGGCTACGTATATATATACGAGCATACGTCCCATGTTATTACCAAAACAACAATAACTAGCCAGGGTTAGAAGTATAGACGCAAGTCCTACTTAGCCGCAGTCCTACAATATACAACACAAGCAACACGCCTCAATGGCTTCGTCATCTTTCTGTTTTCGTCATCATCCTCAGGGCCGTAGACTGAACAAATTGCTAGAGAAAGGCAAAATTTAAAAAAATAAAACAAATGTAGGATAGTTTTTATATGGGCTGAAGGAATAATTGTGTTTTTGCAATTGACAACGCATGGCCAGCGCAACGGTATACAATGAACACCTTAATTGGACTCTGCTTGATGACCTCGACTATGCTGATGACCTGGTACTGCTTTCACACACACGACCATATTCAGACAAAAACAGACAAACTGGTTCAGGAAGCAGCTAAAGCCGGGTAGAAAATCAACATTACGAAGACAAAGTCAATGAGGATAAACGCACAAAATGTGGAATCAGCTACCGCCGAGGGGAAAGAAAATGAGGCGGTGGAAACCTTCACATATCTAGGTAGCGCGCTGGACAAAAACGGAGGGACCGAGAAAAATGTCAAGGACAGAATAGGGAGGGCAACGAGCGCCTTCAAATTGCTCAATAAAGTTTGGAGGACAAGCGCTATATTACCCTTAAAACGAAATTAAAATTTTTCAACTCTAATATTCAGACCGTCCTCATGTATATGGCCGTGAAACATGAAAACTAACAGACAAAATAATCCAAAAAAATCCGCTTTGTTAACAACTGCTTGAGGAAGATCCTCAGAATATTTTGGCCGCGCACCATCAAAAATAAAGAACTCTAGGAAAGGACGAAACAGACCCCAATCGAAATCCAAATAAAAAGAAGTAAAGGAAATGGGGCTGAGTTCCAAGCTGTCTGTCGGACAAAACAGGCGAATGAAGTGACGTCACGACATGCGAATTATATCCATGATAATAGTGGGAGCTATGACAGACTGTTCCTATGATCGATCACCCAGGGTCGAGATGACCCATGGCGAGTGCAACTGGAAATTGCAGGTAAACCAGTAGATTTCAAAATAGATACTGGGGCAGACATCACCGTCATGTCAGCAAGAACATACAATGACTTGCGTAACCGGCCAGCATTGAAACCAACAAACACAGTACTATCCAGTCCATGAGGAACACTAAAATGTAAGAGAGTGTGTGACACAGACAAGCCATAAAGGGAAAACGTACAGCTTCACAGTAGTCGTGATTACAGGCCCACCGACTAATAATTTGTTAGGTCGTCAGATGCCCCCCCCCACCCACTCATGGGTACGGATGCACCGCACCCGCGTGAACTTGAAATTCAGTTTTACTAGAATTAAAATTCAATAATAATATAATAATTAATATTATTCACTATATATCTTCTGGTAGTGTCAAGAAAATTTCACTTCTACAAATACCCTAAAAATGACTTCCTCTAAAAAATTGAACTGCCCCTTATTACCCCTGTGGTAATGAAATACATGCAGTAAGGCACCTAGAAATCTTCAGAAGAGTGTATATCATTTTGTGACTTGCTCTAAAGAACTACCGTAAACGTGTGCATTTAAATAAATCCTGAGATAAGGGGGTGTATTGATGAAGAGTCTAGAGATAAGCGGTGTATTTCTACCGAGTGCTGAGATAGAGGGTAGAAAAAGAGACAAAAATCACGCGAAAAGAAGGTAAAAAATTATGGTCCTTCCTGAGATAGGGGTGTTTTTGAAATCAGGGAAGAAGCGTAGGCATCCACCTAATATATTGAGTGGGAGCCGGGCAGATGGCATCACAAATGGGCTTAGTACAGAGAGGCAATGAAATAAATGGAACATTGTTCGGGGATATTGGTCTGTTAAAGTGCGACCCCGCACAGTTGAAAGAAAAGGCTGTTCGATAAAGTACTAACACTGCCCGCAGAGTGCTCTTTCCGATACTATCCAAGGTTAAGGAGGAGCTGGAATATATGGTCAATATTGGGGTCATCGAACCAGTTGCAGAGCCAACAGACTGGTGCGCCCCTATGGTTCCAGTCGTGAAACGCACTGGGAAATACGCATAAGTGTTGATCTGAAAAAATTGAATGAATCTGTGCGTCGGGAGCGATTCATTCTGCTAACCTTCTATGATGTCATCCCTAAGCAGGTAGGGAAACGTGCGTTTTCGTAGTTGGATTTTTGCCAAATTCCACTAGACTCCGAGAGTTCGCGATACACCACATTTATCACACTATTTGGGCGGTACTGTTTCTACCGTCTCCCATTTGCGATTACATCACAACCAGAGGTGTTCCAACGCAAAATAACAGAGCTACTGCAGGGACAAGATAGTGCTATTGCGATGATGGATGACATATTGGTGTATGGGAAAACCATCAAGGAACATCACCAATGACTTAGGAATGTCTTAAACCGTATACGTGAATCGGGACTGAAACTCAACAGAGGGAAATATAAGTTCCGACAGCCAGAACTAACGTACTTTGGTCATCATATCGGAGAAGGAGGGGTAAGCCCATACCCAGGAAAAATAAGAGCAGTCGTGGATATTGCCGCACCACGTGATGTAGCAGATGTTAGACGGTTTATAGTCATGATCAATGTGCGTGCGTGAGTGTGTGTATAATTCCTCACAGAATATGATATATATATATATCTACTTGAAGATCGTACACAATAGCGTGAGTGACGCGAAATATCTGGTGCAAAATACGGCTTCACAAATTTACCATATCCTGAAAAGCATCCTAGCTGAAACTATTTCCATATATTTGCACCTGTTTGCAACTATTTCATAGAACTTTCAAACTGCTATTATGTCACAAAAAGTTGGAGATCCCAAGATCACAGTGTCCAATTGAATACACATTGAAAGTACTTACAGGACGACATCAACTATTACACTAGCTCAAACACTAACAACTAGAGCATGTTGATGTACGATACGCCGGGTAGGCTGGATACGAGAGGATACACGCTAAAGAATTAGTGTATGCATTTCTTGATGATCTGTAGGATGTTTGTACGGCAAACAATCAGCAAGCACAAGTATTTTAATTATATGCGAACATTTCGTCAATAAAAAAGCATACTCTGTTGTTTAAATGTCGATATCTGGTATAATTATGTGTAACACAGAAATTATCAAGGTGAACAATGTAAAATATCATCAGAAGGAAGGGAAAAATCTCGATTTTCTACGAATTTTACGTTTTCAGCTAACGATGGTACAGTGTAATACACTAATTAGAATTAGAAACGGCGAGGAATCATAATAGAATACAAAACATCAACGAAAACTCCGTTGTAATATGCAAGAATTATGTATAATAACATGATTAACAATTATATTCTACTTTACTTTATTCTTACGACGTTGGTAAATGGTAATTAGTTACAATATAGTTTGTCCAATATAGGATGGCAATTTTCTCTTTAGACTAATTCGATAGGGCGTGTTCGATAAAAATCGGTATAGTTTTAATAATGGAAATGTTTGGGTCATTTTCATGCGTAATTCCGAAAAGAAGGAATTTAATTACGCGAAACAATAACCAATTACCAGCAATATGTATTCTATCGTAGATTAGACTAGTATAGTATGTGTTTTGTCACTCTTTATTGATTTCTGTAAAATCTGTTACCTTTCCTTGCAAACATTTAGTTCTTCATTACACGCAGCTAAAAATAGCGAGTAATATTGGTGCGCACTGCAATTCAATTTTCCTATAGAGCTAATAACCTCCTGCCATCGTCATCGTCGTCGTCGTCTGCTACGGTGCAGACTGGTATTCCCTCAAACCATTTCGCGCACCGTCCTTTCGGCTGCGGCGGTGAATCACGAAAACGCCAGCGAAAAGCAGAGCTCCTGTCAAACCCAGGAACGCAGAAAATAGGAACGCTGGTCTTGTGCTCCCAAAATGATCTGCCAAGGCGCCTGTAGATCAGGAGATAAATAATGCAGTTAACGCATGTCCTTAAACCGGCCAGTCTGAGGTGCCCGTTAAAACGCGAGCGGCGTGCAGGCACTTTAATGAGCTACGGGGCATAAGTACGCCACGCGAAGAAAGAAATTGAGCAAATGTTTGTTCTCCCCGTTCGCATATTTCGTATAATTATATTTATCAGATTTAGCGATAAGTTCACTTTTAAATTTTTTATATCTATTATTCGGGCCATTAAAAATATATTATATTATGTAATATTATATTATATTATATTATATTATATTATATTATATTATATTATATTATATTATATTATATTATATTATATTATATTATATTATATTATTATTTATTTCATATTACCACTCGCTGTGAGTCCAATAAGGTTTGCACAACCGCCACAGCAGGCGCTTATTCCTTCAACTATCAGGAGGTTTTCCACGCCGTACAGTTCTGCGTTCACAGCGGATAAGAGTGCAGAAGTGAGTCCGCGACCAAACCCATACAGGCCGAGCGATACCAGGAAAAACATTGGCGCATCCAGAAGAAAAAGGCTCAAGCAACTGATTGCCAATATAATGAGGCCGACGTTGTACGCAATTAAAATATTAAACCAGCGCATTTGAGAGAGTATGATTAACGAAATTCTCATAAATGTACTACTGGCCTCTTTAATAGCTACTAACTTCGTAACCATCGAGATCTCTATGCCTAGCTCTACTCCGTATTCCACAACGAACGCGGCAACTATGTTCTGCACGGCGAATTTGCAGAAAATTCCTGCGCCGTGTGGCACAAGTTTCATTATTTGATCCCGGGTTAGATTAGCTGCCTTCTTATTCTGAATTCCGTACTTCGGTTTGACTGCAGGAAGAGGCCGAAACAGCGCGCCAGCAAAGACAATATGCAGATTCAGCCCACCCATGACTAGCAACGCACCCTGCCAGGTGTACATCTCGATTAATTTAAGCGTTACGATCGGACCTAAAATTCCGCCTATAGGTACACCGAACGATGCTATAACTGTTGCTAACGGTCGCTGTTTGTCGAAATAATAGCCGGCTATAGCCACTGACGGTGTGAAGGCCAATCCCATTCCCATTCCTGAAAAAAATACGAGTGTGTAATTCATATATGTATGTCAATATGTATATTGACGGGCGCGATAAAGATTTGTCATATTAACGGTCAGCCAATTAGTAGGAATCAGCTCTAGTATTCTAAGGCTATGCACGTTTTATGGAAGATACACACACGTACACGCGCACGCACGCACACGCACGCACACGTACACACGCACACCACACGTGCGCGTACGCAGACACGCACGCATGCACGCACACGCACGCACGCACACGCACACGCACACGCACGCACACACACATGCACACACACACACACACACACACACACAAATTGCCACTAGACGGCTGGCCGTTTTCATATCAAAGTTATATCGCGTTAGTAATGTCCTACATTGTTTACGAATTCATGCACGTGATCTCGAATTCCTCTATAACTCTCTTTCTACATTCACCCTCATATTCTCGAATTACGAAATATGAGGATCATTAAATGCATGAAATTTCAAGATCGTGTCATAAATTAAAGGGGCTCTAATAAATTATAATGTAATATATGCGTGTGTAAGCATATATGTGCTTCTTACCTGCAAGCAGAGAATAGCTAGGGAAGAACACGAGTAAAGTGGGGCTACGATAGCTGAGACCCAGGCCTAATGTAGTCAGACAACCTCCGACGATGACAATATTCCTGATGCCGTATACCGCGGCAAGGCACGCGCTAAACGGACCTGTCGGACAGAAGGCACGGGTGTTGCATCACGATATCACTATTCATCCATCCATCCATCCATCCATCCATCCATCCATCATCCATCCATCCATCCATCATCCATCCCATCCATCCATCCATCCATCCATCCATCCATCCATCCATCCATCCAGTCCATCCATCCATCCATCCATCCAATCGCAATCCACCATCCATCCATCCATCCATCGCATCCCCATCCATCCAACTCCACCATCCTATCCCATCCATCCATCCATCGCATTCCATAAAATCCATCATCCATAAAATCCATCCCATCCACCATCCAGCCATCCATCCATCCATCCATCCAGGCCATCCATCCACGTCCATCCATCCATCCATCCATCCAATCCATCCATCCAGTCATCAATCCGTCCGTCGTCCGTCCGTCCGTCCGTCCGTCCGGCTCCGTCTCGTCCACCCGTCGTCGTCCGTCCATCCATCCATCCATCCATCAACCATCCCATCATCCATCCATCCAGTCCAATCCACTCCATCCTCATCCATCCATCCATCCATCCATCCATCCATCCATGCATCCATCCATCCACCAATCCAATCATCCATCCAATCCATCCATCCATCCATCATCACATCCATCCATCCATCCATTCATCCAGTCCATCCATCCATCATCCATCCATCCATCCCATCCATCCACATCCATCCATCCATCCATCCATCCATCCATCCATCCATCCATCCATCCAAGATCCATCCATCATCTATCCTTCCGATCCATCCGGTCCTGTCCGTCCGTCCGTCCGTCCGTCCGTCCGTCCGTCCGTCCGTCCGTCCGTCCATCCGTGCGTCCGTCGGTCCGTCTGTCCGTCCGTCTGCTCGACCGTCCGTCCATCTGTCCGTCCGTCTCTCTGTCCGTCCGCCTATCTGTCCGTCCATCCGCCAGTCTGTCCATCTATTCATCCATCTATTCATCCACCTATACATTCATATGTGGCTCTACACTCGGTTTATCGCTGTGAAATGAACTTGCAGTCTATAGTATGTCTTTCTATAACGTTTTTTTTAAATATATGTAGCATCTTAATTTCTGAAATGTGTTTAAAGGACAGATCTATTGGCGTTACAACTATTATCAGGTTACAACTATTGGCGTGTGTGTGTCATTGCTTTCCCCGACTGCATAAATTGAGCATTGATAATTAAATTATTTTGTTAAGACAATAAAAGCAGGCGCTATAGATAAACATATATGACGAACGCGCTATACCTACCAAGCACAAGTCCCAGGCCAGATAGAACAGCTCCTACGCCGGCCGTGATGCTATTGCTTGATCCAAATTCACTTGCAATGTACGCGTAAAACACGGAGAACGATGATACATTGTACATGATTATAACCTTAATCAGGAAGGATCCGGCCAGCACGACCCAGGCCCAGCCACGGTCAACATCGGTTCTTTGTCGTTCAGTCCTCTCTGTCGATGATTCCATTTCTAGCGAAGACGATTAGCGAGTGCACGTTTACTCGTACGTTTACTTTTTTCTTGTCCATGCACGGCTAACACACAAAACTCTTCTCACGTTCATTCAATGATGGAATGGATCGAATGTCCAGCAGACTAGGTATCAAGGTGTATCAATGTTACACTCAGCGCGCGTGCGTACGTGTGTGAGTACGCGTGTGTGTGACTTTGCAGACCATGAGGATCAAGGAGGCGTGAAATGGATGTCTATTTCGATTGACCTCGTTTTTTAGTCTTCCTTAATCGTGATCATGTGTATAGCTGTGCACAAGAAAAATGCATTAGGAAGGATGTATCAAACCGCGCCCCAAACTGGTTGCTATCTCGCTCAGAATTCCTTATTGTTAAAATGACAGCAAAATTAACTTCAGCAAGCGGTCTGTCTGTCTGTCTGCACACGCGCACACGCACGCGCACGCGCACGCACACGCACACGCACACGCACACGCTCACGCACACGCTCACGCACACGGTGACGCACACGCACACGCACGCGCACGCGCACACGCACACGCACACGCACACGCACACGCACACGCACACGCACACGCACCCACACGCACACGCACACACACACACACATGCACACACACACACACACACG